GCATTTCGCCGTCTCGTGTCGGGTCGGGTCAACCCGGCAACCCACGGGTCAGGTCCGGGTCAGCATTTCCGACCCTTTTACATACCCGTGTCGTGTTAGGATTGACCCGTTTGAACCCAAATCAGTTCCGAATTTGACCCGCACCCGACTTGTGACCCGAAATTGACACCCCTATGTTTCAGAATCCATCTGATGGTTGTATCATCAATCTGAATTGGTAGAGATTTAGTCTGATAAATCATTTCTATTTTTCCTGAGTGAATAATAATTTTCATGTAGAGGATTATATGAATTCATTTTAGCTTTAATTCATCCATCTAATATACTCAATTTAGTTCCTTGACTTCTCAAATATTATTTGAAATGAATTATTTTTTGGATTATTTAGAAATAGTTTTGAGATGATAAATAATTATTTTGGATTAAATTTAAGAAGTAAAGGGATTAAATTCCACAATAGATAATTTAAGCCTAAAAAATGACTCCTCATAAATATGCAACGAACCATTTTGACTGCTTTCTAATTATAAAAATTATATTTTCATGATGAAATTTTAGCAAAAGTGAGCTATAATTTAGTAGAGAACTGACGTTGATGGTAGGAAGAAGATGTTAAATTCAATATAATTGTGAAAGAGAATATGTGAGAGAGATTTTAATGGTCATCCTTAAAATATATATATATTTCCATTGCTATATTCAGTGAAGGGCAATGAATACTATATAGTCTTTAGGCAATTGGCCCTAGCATAATTAAACACATTGGCCCTAGCATAATTAAACACATTATATAGAGATATTTTTGTTAGGGATCGATGAACCAAATACCAAAAAAAAAAAAGTAAAGAGAATTTATCATATTATTTATTATTTTGAATTGCAAAAATATTTTTACAACTAAAATTTATTTTAGGGGCGCAAGCCCTCACAAGGACCCTGTGGCCTGACACATTTGCGAAATGTACAACAATCAAGGATATAATTAAGGCACTGCGAGGCCATAGTCACTTTGGATAGCTAAAAGATATCTTTAGCTATCATTTTCTTTTTGTCTCTACTTTTTTTGGTCGCTAGTTGCTCATTTTCTCGTAGTAAATGGTAGAGTCAAATTCGAGGCAACACTAACATTTACTTGTAAATTTGCCCACCGCCACCACCCCCCTGAAAATTTAGGTTGGTTCGGCCCCAAGTGAAGGGTCTTTAATTCCATGTCTGCTTAGTAAGTTCCTTCTCAACTCAACTTATAGAGAATCCAAAATTTTGATTTAATCATCTCTTTTTTTAGACCTATACTATATCATTAATTCATTATGACTCTTTATGAGAATTTAAGTGTTATATTAGTTTTAGATGGAGGATGAAATTTTGGCCTTTTTGATGAAGAGATAGAGGACAAATGGGTGCACAATGATGCTTTCATTATTTTAAATTAATTTCTCATCTTTCTTTTAAAACTGTGATAACAAATAATCAATTGAAGAGTTTATAGAAAAGATTTGTTCATCCTCACATCTAAGCAAGGGGAACTTCAGTTCTCATTGTAAAGAAAAAAGATGAGAGAATAAATATATACATATATTAATGAGAGATGAACCAAGTGGCAAAGTCAATTTGTGTTCAAGATATCAACAACTTAAGTTCAAGAAATGGCTTAAGATAGATTCTTCCAAAATCTAATTAGGGCACTATGAGTTCTTATCATGCCATTTTTATTGATGAATGCACCAGCAATTTTCATGACATAATGAATATGATATTCTATGTAACTAGATTAGTTCATAATAATCATCATAGATGATATTCTTACATATTCTAAGAATTCATATCACCATGAGGATATCTCTGTATGCTCTAAGAAAAATTAAGAACATGAATTATATGCTAATGCTATTTTAATGTAGATTTTAGTTTGTAAGTGTTACCATTAGCTTCATAAGAATACTCGTAGATCCCAAAAACTTAAATGTAATTGTTAACTGTCTAAGACCTTCTAAGTTAACATTTTGTCGGTCAAGCAAGGTACTATGAATGCTTTCAACAATCGTTTTCTTAGAAATTACTATTTTGATTAGATTGATGAAGAAAAATGATAAATTTGATTGGGCTTAGGGATCCAAGAAGATCTTCCAAATGATAAAGGGGTGTTATGTAATTGCACCAATTCTAAATTTTCTTGAAATAGCATATAAATTTTGGTTTATAGTGATACCTCTTTTGAAGAACTGGGATGTACAAATAGGAAAAATGATAGTGTTATACCTCATTTAAATTTGTTAGCCTTGTTATTCACACTAAAGATACTATGACATTATTTATTATAGTATGAATAAAAATCTTCATCAATCATACAAATTTGTTGTCTTGTCTCAAGATCAAAATTTATTATCCATCAGATTTTTTAGAAATGGATCTCATCATACTAGACAATCAAATTGAAAATTTTATTATTGATATGAGATCGAATAATACATTTACAGGTTTAAAAAAATTTGGAGAACTTGCTCAGAAAATAGTGGAGACTAGGAAGAATGATATTTATCCTTTTGTGTTCTTACTTATAAAACTTGTTCTTATATTATTAATTGCTACAGCAACAGCTGAACGAGCATTTTCTGCAATGAATATTATAAAGAATTGTTTACACAGTCATATTAGAGATTCTTGGAAGAATGATTATTTACTTATATTGAAAATGATATATTTAATAACATTGATAATGATTTTAAAAAAAAAAAAGAAGACTCGAAGGGAAAAATTATATATACTAGATAATAAGAATCTCCAGATTTAGCATTCTAATTTGTAAGTTTTTTGCTTTATCATATATTTTAACTTTTATAATGAATCTAATGATTTCAAAATTTATAACTGCCAATGCTAGTCCCAAGTTCGGATGAAAAAAGTTGAGGATCCTTTTTAACTTCAATGATTTGTGCCACTAGTATATGAAAAAAAAAAATTCTAGCTCTGATGGGTGAGAATGGAAGGCGTTGCATAACAGTTAAGGCTATTTTGAATGAATCTTTTTCATAATAAGTCATCAAGTTGGTGTTTTATTTTAATATTTTTCCATGAGGTTTGTTTGGTGATCATGTGGAAGATATTATAAGGGGGCTCGAAGAACCAAATCAACATGTTAAAAATTTTATGATGAAGATAGACAATTAAGAAGTTATTTGTCATTAATGTTTTGTTGGAGAAACTTTCTTGCTGCTTTCTAAAAAACTTTTCTTGTATAAAATTTTTTGCACTAAAATACTATTTAAAAATTATTAAGAAAGCTGTCTCAAACAAAGGCTTCGTTTGAGATAGCTTTCTTACTATTTTCTAAACCAGTTTTTTAGTATAAAAATATTTTAATTAGAATCTTTTGTACTAAGAAATTGCTTTAAAAAGCATTTAGGAAGCTATACAAAATGAAGTCTAAGTTTGAAAATTCATTTAGAGTAGCGAATAAAGTCGAGGTAATTTATATGTTTTCAATTTACGTTAAAAATTTTTTAGAGTATAACATGATCAATATATTGATATTTTTTGTTACTAATCACGAATTCATTTGGCACAAAAAATTATATTAAAAGTTTAGTACTTTTTAAAGAAATATGTTGAGATAACTGAAAGGTGAAGTTTTGCAGTTTAAAAGGAATTAATTTTTTTATTTATTAGTTATGTTTAAAAACATAATGTACAATATTGAAGTCGTACATTAAGGGTCATCCTAGAAAAATATAATAAAGTTCATGGGGGAGAATATTAAAACAAATCATAATTATAATAAAATAATGCATTTGTGAGTGATAGACAAATATGTCATACTAGCCTAAGCTATAGGAGTAAGGATGGGTGAGTGGTTTAGATGTCAATAAACATAATTTTAGAGTAAATGATCTCTACTAAAGGTTTTCATGCTCGCATAATGATTTGAAAACTATTATTAGTCAATGTGGGTTGTTCACTTTATGTTGTCTAGTTGACATTGTAATAAATTTAAAATAACTTAGCCTCAAATTCAAATGAGTGATTTTAATGTACCTCACAAATAAGCTAATGACCAAACGGTATCGAAGTGACGGCTAAAAGGGCAATTCATAATAAGAGCTGTGGGGCTACTAGGTATATGGATTCTACTAGCGTTGAAAATTACGTACATTGATCTCACGACATCTACAACTTAGCGGGGGTAGTGAATGGGCTGAATTAGAACATCCTTTCTATTATAATCTCAAATGATAACTTAGAAGTGACACCCATACTCTTTCTTAGATATATGCTTGGATTGATAAATATTGCAATAGTAATACCTATTTTTCAATCTTGCCAAATTTGCTTGTTATATATGACTAGATTCTCAATTAAGAATTGATTAATGATATATACCATGAAGATGTATTTTTACCTTATGATATCATAGTTAACAAAAATAGAATACCTATTTAAGCTTTTCAATCATTTTGGCATTCAAGAAATGAGAGATTCTTTGTTTAAAAGAGTAATAAAATGAACGATGACGTCGATTTCTTATTAAAAAAGGTTGCCAATATCTTGCAATCGTAATATTCTTTTTCGAGTGATGGTCTAGTAGAAATCAAATACTTTTCTTAAAGTTTATTTGAGCTCACTTTTGTTTTTTATTTTTATTTAAAATATATATTTATTTGGTGTATTTTTATGTATTTTTATTTTTTAAAATAAATCAAATCATTTTTGAGTTCCCTTTTTGTTTTATATTTTTATTTTTAATTTAAAAATATATTTATTTGGTTTATTTTTATGTGTTTTTATTTTTTTAAATAAATCAAATCATTTTTAAAAATATCAAAATATATTTTTTAATATTTTGAGTGCTTTTAAAAATAACTAGCATCATTAGTTGATGACCATCACTGGCCCTACCATCAAT